CCCAAACTCGGGGCTGGTGGAGCTGGAGGAGCAGAACCCACCCCGCTCAGGGTTTTCCTGTGGGTTCCTCTGTGATTTTAGGGGTTCCACCAAGATTAGGGTCCTCTCATGGATTTAGGGGTCTTTCCATGGGTTTAAGGGTCCCCTCATGGTTTTAACATTCCCTCTGTGGGGTTAGGGSTCCCCATGTGGATTTTGGGGTCCTCACATGGGTTTAGTGTTCCCTCTATGGGTTTAGGGGTCCCTACATGGATTTAGGGGTCCCTCCATTGGTTGAGGGGTTCCCACATGGATTTAGGGTTTCCCTTATGGGGTTGGGGCTCCTCACATGGATTTAGGTATCCCCTATGGGTTTATGGGTTCCCACGCGGATTTAGGGTTCCCTCTATGGTTTTGGGGTCCCTGGCCATGCAGCCTCCCCCCTCACCTGCCATCGAAGCGATGCTTCAGGAAATCAAACAGCGCTTTCTGCATCATGTCCGTGACCTGGGGAGGGGGACAGCGGGGAGGGAGGGACAATGTGGGGCTGGGGTCCCCCCCCGAACCCCCCCAACACCGCCCCCATCCCCCCGCTCACCTCATAACCCTTCAGCGACGGCCCCACGAGGATGATGGGGCGCATGGAGGGCACCACGTCGTACGGGGGCACGTGCTCGGTCTGGGGACAGAGCTGGGTGTCACCAGGGCCGGCTTTGGGGTGGGGTGGGGACACGGGGCATGCTCGGCTTAACCCCCCGCGGGGGCAGCTCCGGGGGTTTTGGGGGGGCAGCAAGCGGGGGGCACCCCCGACCCCCCTCCCCGCGGGCCCTCCCGGGGGTCCTGGCGCTACTCACCGACTTCTGCTTCTGCTTCGCTACGTCCCGGGGGGGCCACGGGGGCCGGGGGGCGAGAGGAGACAAACAAGGCATGCGTGTTACCCGCGGGCACGGGGCACCGGGGGGCGCGGGGACACGGGGGTGACCCCCGGGGTSAGCCAGGGACAGGGGRGTGACCYCCGGGAGTGACACGGAGACATGGGTGTGACACCCGGGAGTGAGCCAGGGACACCGGTGTGACCCAGGGACATGGGTGTGACCCCTGGTGTGACACAGAGACA